TGGGTGTCCCCGCAGGCCGGCGCTCCCGGCGGCGGCCCTTGCGCCCTCTGCGGTCGCCCCATCCCGTCGGAAGGGTGTCCCGGAAGGGCGCCGGGCGGGCAGCCGGACTCCGATAACCTGCAGGAGCAGGCGGCGACCTCTCCCGCGCCGAAGCGCACCCCCTGCCCGGGCGTTACCGACCCTGCGTCGCACCCCAGCAATCGCACAAGACAGGTGTAGTGTCTGGATGATTTTATTGGTGTACTTTAACAGTTCTCACGATACTGCAAGCTTTGTCTTTCAAGAAACAAAAGGTGTTAAAAAAAAAAAACACAATTCATCCTCTCATAACAAATAACAGCTTTTTTGCATTAAAAAAAAGTGGTTGGTTTACTTCAAAACTGCCCATAGGGCCATCCATGTTCCCCTGTGTGTGTGAAGGAAAAGACAGGTGAAGTGCTACACACATTGCCATCTCGTACCCGAGTTTAATACAGAACAACTCAGAAGACCTTAGCGAACAACACAACCACAGTCTTTGTCACAGCCAACTGCTGACCCTGTCAAAGCACTTTTGGCTCCCTGAGTCACTGAGAGGTAAGAGGATACCCTGAAGTTAACACTATTAGTTTCACTAGCAGTCTGATGACATCCTCATATATAGAAAGTTTACAGATACATATGTACAGGAACATTTATAAACTCGATTTTAAAATGTTACTCTGTGACCTGTAACTTAGTTATAATATTATTACTTTTTAAAGTGTTCAATACATTATCATAAGCCTTGGTATCTATATGCCTTAACTCATCCAGTAACTTAATAATAGATTGCTTATCTCCCAGTGTGTTTTTCCAGATGAGAAGCATCTGATATTTTTGCTCATATATATTAGAAGGGTTCTCATAAATGATTTCATTAATAGAATTCTCTTTCAGATGAGTTCTCATAAGAAACTTCCATTTTTCCGGTGGTACATTATTTATAAAAGCCCTAAAGCTTGCGCTCAGATCTGGGGAGAGGGGAAAAAAAAAAAAGTTAGATGCTAAAAATACAGATTTAGACAGCTGAAATAGATGTCTTTCTACTAGTTTTTCTGTTAGTTTTTAGCAAATGCATGCTCAAACCAAATGACAATAATTAAGTTAGCAGCTAAAACAAATAGACACAAATATAGAACAATGAGATTTCCTACTCAAAGCCTTCTTACAAAGAAGCTAGAGGGACCAGTCTATATATCTTGAAGTCTCTTAAGATGAAGCAATGTTTGTAAAGGTGTTTTTGGTGGACATTTCTCTAACCTTCATGTCTGTGTTTACTCTTAGTAGGGCTCTTCAATGGCAGGGTTGTTACCCTTTCACCGAAGTATTGATCTAAGTTTGCCATGCCAAGAGTATCACGAGCAGAGTCTTACACCTGGACATCCAGGCACACCATAATGCTGGCTACAGGCAGATGTGCAGGGATTTGATGCTGTCTGGCATTTGACAGAAAGACCTGCAACTGTGACCTACATCACAGTCATTAAGGTAAATGCCATTGCAGTAATAAAGATTTGTTCAAAAGCAAATAAATTCAGAAGTGTACTTAATCTTAAAAGCATGGCTACATTATAGCCCAGTGCAGAAAAGTCTTGTTTTAAGGAATAAAAACCCACCTAGTGATTGCAACTTTATAAAATCTTGTTTCAGTATATTTTAGAATAAATTGAAAGCCTTGTAGAGTTAAACAATACTCATTAACTTTTCTAAACTATTCCTTGAGTAAAGTCAACAGGAGAAAGCAAATTACATTTTAAGCATTGTCCGTTTCTGTAATACTTACCCTTTTGAGAGAGATCTTTAACTATTATTTCATACTTCGATTCTTTTACCTGTAATATGAAGTTGGGCCATTATTCCAGAGCCTCAGAATTCTTAATTTACTTACAGCAATTATTCCTGAGCCACTTTCACAACACATAGAAAGGAAAATAACTTTCAGGTGATAACAAAAAGAGACAGTCTTGAAGTCTAAAGGTCCTGACTTGGCATAACAGAAAGTTTCAACCCCTCACATACCATACTGGTATGTCACATCCATGTGACTGGTATTCCAGGTTTCCATTTGTTGCAATACTGTAAAAAATTACAGGACTATCCTAGTTCTCCTTCTATATGGGAGCGCATCTTGTAACCCATTACTTTCAACAATACATAACCCAGTACAGCAAGGGAAAAATGGGACAGTTTTCACAGCACTACTATAAAAATTACGTATTTGAATAAAGATAACCACATGCTGAGAACAGCTGTGCTATTAGTTGACAAGTGAAGCAAAGTAACAAATTCACTGATACTACCAAAAAAAAAAAAAAAAAAAAAAAAGCCTTCTGTGTAAACACTGAAAGAAGAGATTGAGAGATGAGCAGCAAATAAAAAATTTAGTAGAAAAGTCTAGAACATATCTATAAGGTAAACATTGCCCGAGTTAACTGAGATTTACCAGGCAACACTTGCCAAGAACGTTTCCACTTACCACATGATTTGCTGGCTTAAAGCAGGCATTCAGACGAAGAGTAGGATTCTGCCTTGGTTTTGCTGACAGCGAAGACTTTCTGAGCCTCTTCCAAACCCTTTCTATTTGGTACCTCAAGCGCCTGGGCAGAATGGTGCTTTTCTCAGAAGTCTCAGCGCTATCATCCTCTGGTGATTTGTTTCCCACTTCCAAGGTAACACTGGTAGGTGCTTGACCTTCCAGGCTCTCCCCAGACTTCTCGTTTTCTGTGCTGGCTGTATTATTTGGAGCTGTCTCCACTTCTGACAAAATGAGACTTTTAGTAGCACCCTGAGATACCTGTAAAGAATAAGAACATATTCTATTTTTAGATGATGTTTCGTAAGTAGGCTTTAAAGAATGGCCTAGAAGGAAAAGGAACAGTTTAAGTCATTGGACATAAGAGATATTATAGCAGATGCGCTAACCTGGCAGAGTTACAAGTGCGCAAGAGTTAGTCTTTGGATTTCAAATTGCTTTAGTCTCAACACTCCATTTTTGCTGGCTGCTCTGCGCAGGCTACAGAGTGAGGCTTACAGGGGTAAGGCTCACAAGCTATTTCCATAAAAAGAATGAAGAAAACCATTAGCAATATTTTCCATGGTGGCAATTAGTGCTTGTTTCTCTCAAATATAGAGGAGAGGGACCTCTTTGGAGGCAAAAGAGATTATACCACATGTTACACCTGACCTGTCCTCACTGGTTGCTAATGGTGACAGGGGCTTCTGAAAAGTTTTTATAAGCTCACCTAGCACATCAGCTTCATATAAATGTATTAAGTTTTCTTCCCATCTCTGCAGACCATAGTTTTCCATCACAATCACAAAAGAAATCAGTCCAAAAAAAAACTAGTGAACACCTATGCCTATCAGGGAACATCAGTTGGGGGAGGAAAAAAAAGAGGCAAAATAACTTTATAATTTTTGGCATTGTCTGTGCATCAAACAGGCTTAGGCCACAGCAGCTGCCTGAGGCAAACAGATGGTGACCCCTCAAAAACAGCATCAGTACACATGGCCACCCTCGATACTTATGCAGAACTACTTAAATCACAACCTTTTAAACTTTTTTTGAAGGTGGAAAGTGAAAGCCAATATTGATTTTCTTTCTTCGAGACTTGTATTTGTTAAGGTGCAATCCCCTCATCAGTGTAAGCCAGTGTGATTTCTTTCTGTTTGCTCAGGGCCAGTGACCTGCGTGTGACAACTATGTGACTGACAGCACACATACGCAGGTCTCACAGAAGCCTGCAAGGACCCCACTCATCACCCATGTAGCTGTACAGCTTTTTAATTGAATCCCCTTTCCCTTTAAGGGTGGAAGCAGGTCAGTCACATTGCTCTTACTTATATAGCATAGTTTGGAAATAGGTAACCTAGTTACTAAATATTTATTACATGGCTATGCTCTAATTCTGCCCCATTTTGGAAGGAAATAAAGTCGCTCTCTGTTTTCTACAGCAGTGGAAGTTCACAGGTAGTTCACAGGTACAAGGACAATGCACTGGTACCCAAAGGCTGGTCTCAGGCCTGAATCAGTGTCTTAGCAAACACTTCTGTTGAAATAGCATAACATGAATACTTCCATGTGTAGATATTGCGACAGTTATTTCAGAGCTGTCTCCATAGGCTGATTTGTGACCACATTCATCTACTGAAGTTTTATTCAAACTTAAGAGATGTTATATTTGCCTATTCCTATGCTACACTGTTTTGATCATGTTTTCTGTCACATTCTTTCATCAACTTCTACGAATATATGAAGCGCTGCAAATCTGGCCAGAACGTAGGGGAAGGCGCAACCCAACAAAACCCAATGGGTGATTCAGGTATCTGAGCCACTTATAGACCTTAAAAAAAGAGAAGAGTTTAAGGTGATGTTTTTAAACAGAAAAGAAGTTTTCTTTCACTTTTCAAGTATTCATGAAATAACCAAAATACATTTTAGTTATTTAAAATGTCCAGCTAGTAGTTTAGACTACAGTTCTGCATAGGGCGAGCAGGACTCATGTCGGATGTGGGACAAGGCAGGGAAAACATACTGTGTGCCTAGAGGAACCTAGGTGCTTTTTTAGAGTCTTATTAAACCCTTAAAACAAAGAGAAGACTAACAATAAGGAAAAAAAATACATAACACCGGGATGTTTGTCTTATAGTCAGTAAGAGAAAGCATTTCTACCTCATTGTACTAACTTCTAAAGAGCAAAGCTTAAAAAAAAAAAAAAAAAAAAAGCGGTAAGTCACTGATGAGCAAAGTTTTGTTTTTTATGCTGCAGGGCAGATTTTAGAATTAAAATTAGTTCTAGAACTGTCTTCTATTACAGAAGGCAAGTGATGCATTAGTTTTAAAAGGAGAACATGTGCCAGCAACCAAGCTTGGCTTAGTAAACCTTTTCCAGGGACATACGCCTGAACTGGCATATGCTGAACCCAGAACCTCAGCCTGCTGTGGAAACTACTGATCATCTTATGGGACAGCCTGAGTAGAAAGACGACGAGGTCCTGGTCAGTCGCTTGCAACAACAACAAAAATAAAATAAAAACTATCGGGTTAGATCCGGGCACTTTTGTTGTATCATGAGAAATAATCTTATAAACAAGTTATTTTGCATTCAGAGTGGGGAAAAAAAAAGCTACAATGTGTGGGAAGTTGGTAGCTGACATTCACTAGGGAAAACAGGCATGAAATAGCTAAGAGGACCACTTGGACAAGATATCATCTGGAGATGGTTTGAAGTAAAAGCTAGCACCTAGGCTAATTTTTAACCACATTCAAAATATTCTGGCCATAGGCACTGGAAGGTTTATGAGGAAATGCTGGGAAGGTCAGCTGCAGTGGATACATGCAACCAATTAATACATTAGGCCCTTATTAACACCTAGCCTTGTGTGAATCATAGCCTCTTGTATCATCATATACTTACCAGATCTTTCTCTGCATCTTTACTTATTGAAGTGGCTGGAAAATAAGGTAAGTGTATCAGTAACTTACTGAAATTGCAGCAGATTACATATAACCGAACTTGTATGAATTTTACTATATGAATCAAAGTTTTAATACAAGCAGTGTAGTTTCCTTAAACTGTATTACAACTGTACCATCGTCAGCTTCCACCAATGGCACACAAACACTGTTCCTTCATACAGGGGAAAATAAATGGTTCCACTTAATAAAACATAAACCTCAAGAGGCTGTTCAGCTTTTTACACCTCCCCATGCCCCACGAAGAAAGAAACCTTGATTCCGAGTGCATTCATAGGGTACTGCCATTTGCGCCTACTTTTGCATTGCTTTTAATGTAGCATAGTCAATAAGCCAAGTTTTGAACAGAATTTATTGTCCAAGACTTAGAACTATTTTCAATACTCTTGTCTAACAAAATTAATTGCAAAGTAATTTATAGTAATCGAAAGAAAATGTTCTTCCCCTTAGTCTCAGGGCACATCTTGTCTAGTTTGGAAAGTTTATGGATACTAAAGACAATTACCTTGATCACTCTTCAGCTTTCTAAATACAAAAAAGACCAGCACCAAAATGAAACAGACAGAACCAACTATAATAGCCCAAAGAGAAAATGCATTTCCTGCAAGAGAAAGAAGAATAAAAATTAATGCTTGAAGCACAGAAGCAATCCATAAGTATTCTGAAGTGCAAGAATGATAGATTGCTCTCTAGGATGAGAGTTATGACTATGTTCAGCACTAGTGTAACAACCTAGCTAGCTTCTGTCCCAGGAAAGTCCTTATGGCTGTTAGCACACTGCTGTCCCAGCAGGAGTTAGGCTTCCATGTAGCACTGCAGTACAACTACTACAAGGTTTTCAGAAGTGGTAAACAAAAACGAAAAGAGTATGCAAAAAGATGGCAAAAATCTTCATGTGCCAAGATATCAGTAATGCAACTTTCTTCTCCTCTAGTCTGAGGGAGGCTTCCCACCAGAGTTGATACCTCTTTGTGGGATACTTCTCAGACTAACACGTCACATAGTAAAATGGATTCTCCTATCTGCAACTTTAAATAGTATCACTCAATACAGTTTTGATATCTGACAACACATTTTGCACCAAGATAAAATCTTGCTTGCAACAAGCTCTTTAAATACGTCACAACATCTCAAGCCTCTGTTTTACAGGCTGCCGCTTCGTCTTTCAGTGGAAGTAACAGATCAAGTAGACCAAGCTGAGTAGGGGTTACCTTGATCAGGTAAGCTACATTCCAGGTCCATCGTAGCATTGCAATTCTGAACAATTTCTTTTCCTTCTGGGCACCTGAAGCAGATAAGACAGTTTATTACATTTCCAAAATAGCCACGCAATTCTGCTCAGGCCTGTTTTCAGGTTGAGCAGAATGGACACAAAACATGCATAAAAATATTTTGTTAGAAAAAGCACCTTTAAACAACTTAAAATACTACAAGATTAAGCAGCAAAGCAAGTTAAAAATCTTAGTCTCTGCTTAGAGGGGGCAGGAAGAAGAAAAATGGGTAGTTGCATTATTCAAGCATTATTCCTTTAATGGGTGTTTCTACCTGAAAATTTTGGGTTGGCTGCTACTGCAAGCTACTGTAAAGCTCCTTTATGTGTATATGTAAAAAAAAAATACAAATCTAAAGATATATCAAATGTGTAAGCATACAGCAATAAGCAACAAATATAATGGTACCAAAATCCATACCTTTCTAGGCTTCAAACTTGTATACTCTAAAACACAAAACTTAATGCATGAATAATGCATTTAAGCCATTGGCTTTAAGAGAATTATTCACATGTAAACAACATGTTAGGTATTGACATGGATGGGTCCTAGTTTTCATGTCTATTAAGATACTTGTTTACATTCACCATTTCACTTACTTTGTACTGCATTTCTGACATATTTCACAGCCCCCAATAGGGCAGAAGTACCCTTCTTTGCACTGACATTCAGTATCATGTGTCAGAGTGCAGGTCCTCAAAGTTATCTGATCTACAAAGACATAAGTTTAAAAAAAAATTAGACATAAGGCTTTCCAAATTAAGCAAGGTGTACAGGTATTAATGTCAAGGTTTTGTTCAGTACCATCTTTGCACTGCTTGCATGGCAGGCATCTCTCCAAGCCATTTGGATGAGCAGTATAGTCTTCCCCTTCGATGCAAGGGGCACAAATTGCTCTCAAGTGTGAAGCACTGCAGTGCTGAGCAACAAAGTAACCTGTGGGAGAGGAGAACCAGCAGCAGCATCAAGTTATCATTTAGCACATGAAGAAGCATAACAGGTTGTTAAAGTAATTGTGATCAAAGTTCACGCAACTTCGCTTTCAGTTTTATATGCTCATGCAGAAATATCAGGACTCCCCAGGGCCTCTTCTCAATGCTCACTGCTTTTACAAATCCCCTCTAAACCCTTCATCCTTGGCAGTAGGCAGGCCAAGGCCTCTTCCTGTCATCTCCCTACTGCATCACTTCAAAAGCAGCATTAGAAAGCCAGTACTGCCTTGGGAAAAGTTAAACTTTCACCACATACAGTGTAAAAAAACACCACCACAAAACTAGAACACACACACAGTCTCAAAAACAAACAAACACACTAAAAACTAAAACAAGCAAACAAAAATCCCTTATCAGCACATAACCACCGGAAGTCCTACCTGCCGGACAAGATTTGCAGCAGTAACCTTCATGGGAGTATTCCCCTTCATCACACTCATCCGCTCCTCTTCCAGGGATGGTCAACAGTGTAACCTGCACAGAGACAGGAAAGCGCTTTCCAATGAATCATCTTCCCCCAACGTGATACCATCTCAGGGAGATGTTCCTGCAAAGACTTGGCATTCACATGCGCATGGGAAGCCACAAAGGAAACCTAAACTAATTTCTGCTAAGTACTCAACACAGAAGCAATTACCATCAAAGGACAGGTTAGATCAGTGAGATGCAGTTTAGGAGGAGCAGCAAAATAATTTTAGGAAGCCACTGACTCCCACTTCTATTTGTTTTAACGTCAATCTCTTCCCCCTCCTCCAATAACGGATTACAAGCAAATGTCAGGGGCACTGCTACTGCTAGGAAAAAAAGTTTCTGCCACAAATAAGCAGGGCAGTCTCGCTCTTCTTCCTCCCTCCCAGTCTTTTTAATACGGAAGGGTCAGCGTTTGCCTTCCTTCAGCAAGATAAACAGTCAAGAACCCGCAGGGAACGTTAATTGCTGGCTTTAAACAGAAAAAAAAAAAAAAAAAAAAAAAAAAAAAAAAAGTTCCCCCAGCCATAGCAGCATTAAGTTAGAGAAACTGAATAGAACCAAACGAATTAAAAGCAGCTAAACAAAACCAGGCAGGAAGCGGCCCCGTAGGACCGGCCTGTCCCCGTTCCCGGGACGGCCAGGAAGCGGCTGCAGCGCCCCGAGGAGCGCGGCGGTGCCGG